ACCGTGTTTCGGGTTCCATGTACTGCTCTCACTCACGATATTCAAAATATTTTGGGTGAGAAAAAATTAGTTTTGGCGGAAATTTTTGAGAAATTAAACCAAAGAATTTCTGTTTGTTGTGACATTTGGTCCGATCATTGGCAAGATAATCATTTTATGGGAATTACTTGTCATTGGATAAATAATAGTTTTACATTACAAAAATGTTTAATTGCTTATATGGGATTTAATAATTCTAACATTGTTGCTAATGCCACTCGTGTAATTTCACATGTCTTGAATGCTTATATAATTGGTAAAAAACTTTTTTCATGTTTTTTGATAATGCTAGCGCTAATACTTCTTCTTTAAATGAGCTTAAAGAAATTTTTTGTCCCCTTTGTGGTGGAAAATTTTTTCGTATTCGGTGTATGTGTCATGTTCGCAATCTTTGTGTTCTAGCGAGCTATCATGCTTTGAAAGAGTCGATCACGCCCATTATGAGGTCGTTACTACTTACATCATCTTCCTCAAGAAATAAAAAAATGGGAAAGACATTGTAAAGATGATGGTGTTACACCTAAAACATCGCAACCGGACGTTCCTACCTAGTAGAACTCAACTTTTAATGTTAACAATAGCGTGTGAATATATTGTTCAACTATAAACTTTTTTTAGGATTCATGAACGGTGTGATTGAATTTTCACAGATAATATTGATGATTTTACAAATACTATAACACCTACAAAATTTGTAGGAACATTTCAAACTGCTACTAACGTACTTTCTAGTACTTACTACCCTACAACTCAACATGTGTTAGTTCAATATATATGTGTAATGTGGGGTTTTCAAGATATTTTTTTCTAGTGATCTTGACAAACACGACGAACGTGTAAGAGATATGTTTAGAAAATAGTTAAAATATTATATTTACATTCTCGATACATTTTAAGTTGCATGTTTGTTAGATCTGCTACTACGTGAAAGTGGCTTGCCAACTAACTCCACACATATCATAATATTATGTATCAACTCTCACTTTTCAACTGCCATTTTCCTATGATGTTTTTGTTGTCACTAAATCCATGACTGCTCGTCGAGCAAGCAAAAGTTTTATTGTATGAATTGTTTAAGGAAAAAACAGTCGAACTCGAGGAAGATCTGGCGTCATTTGCTTTTCATTCTTCTGGTTCTCCTTCTTATTCCCATTATCCACAAACGACGCCACAAGCCTCAAACTTTGGTGACTGGTAGTCAAATTATAATTCCAGCAGGAATGTTAAAATCCAGAGTCAAATAAGGACTCAGTACAATGAGCTCAAACACTACCTCATCTTGAATATGAGACTTACGATTGCCAGACCATCAATTGTGCCACTCAAATTCGATGTCTTGGATTTGTGGTAAAAAATGAGTACCATTTATCTTGTTCCATCCTTGATGGCGAAAGAGATTTTTGTTGTCCGGACTTCAATGATGGCGGTTGAAAAAGTATTTAGTGAGAGAGGATATAGACTGAACATACGATGGCCGAGGTTAACGCTACAAAACTTTGAGACTCAAATGTTGTTAAGTGATTGGAATAAGATTAAATGAAGGGTATAAATGACCATTTTAACTAGCGAAGATGATGTCGAAGAAGGGAATTCGATTTTACTAGTACTAGTGGAACTGTCGGAACCAAAGACGACTACGAGACCTACGGTTTCTAGAGCATTCAACGCATCCTGCCATCCTTTTCCATTAAGGTAAGTAAAGTAAGGGAACTACGATAACTTTGATTATTAAGGTAAAGGATAATATATTGTAAGTTAATATACATTAAATTTCCTTTTTTATCTTTTTTTTTTTTTGAATTTGTCGGAGTTGGTTCTGCCCTAAACCGACCTAAAACCGACGAGCCGGTTCTGAATCTTAAACCGCCGGTACAACCGTTGACTGGCCATGTCTACATCTAGTTTTTCATTTTAAGCTACACCGCCCAGCCCCCCGCAGGGTACGGGTCAGCAAGGATCGTCCAACCAGACTAAGGGACCCCATCTCTACTCCCCAAAGTAGTTATCTCTGGCCTCATAAGCAAGGAAGACTTATCGTACGCCTATGAAGCCAGTGGACTTTACGCCCTGGGGGGGCGGTTTTTGTTTAACTTTGTCGATATTTTCTTTCTTTTTTCAATTTGTATTTATTTTCTTAATAATTTTAATCAGAGTCTTTTTTTTTACAAAGGATAAAACATCTCATAAATAAAACCAGAAACAAAGGTCTTAACAGTACAGCGCCAGAACCATAGGAGCACCACTAAGAGTGGGATAGATGAACAACCGAAAACCAACACACACAATCTATAACCAAACTACAAGCAAAGCGGTCACCCACAACCGAGCATTTGCCTTTAGCATAGATATCCAATAGCCTATCTAAAAACACAAACCAAAGAAGAGAAAAAACAGTATAAGAACCAACTAAGCTACACTAAACAGAAATGCGAGAAAAACAAAAATACAAAGCAACTGACCACATCAAACTCCTCCGTATCATGTTAACAGCTCGAGCCTCTCCTGCTAGCCAAAAAGGCTTGCCACTGCTGGATTGCCACCTTGACTACCACAAGTGCTGGTCTTCTAATATGCTCAAATATCCATAGATTGCGAGACTTCCAGAGCCACCAAAGAATGTACGTTGATAATTGAATTCGGGCTTCTGAAGTCTCACTTTGGTCCAGTTGGCAGATTTGCCACCACCATGATTTGAAAGATTCCTTGTCACCAGGGACATTCCAATTAACAGGAGCTTGTTTCCACACTTCCTTGGCAAAACTGCAATAAAATATAACATGTTCTATGGGTCATTAGTTTCCCCTCACTGAGCACAGATAGTATCCACTTGCATTCCTCTTGATTGTAACTGAAGTCCCCTAGGGAGAGCACCATTGCAACATCTCCAAATAAAGTGTTTAACTCTTCACATCACTTTGAGCTGTCAGCTTCTTTTCCTAACTCTGAGATCAATAGCAGGATCCTTGTTGCCTTGTGGTCTGCATTGTTTCAAAAACTTCTCTGTGATGAGGTGAGCATAGGTAGATTGAACAGAGAATAGCCCCTTCTTATGGAGGTTCCATGGCCACTCATCTTCTTTTGTTGGGTCTAAGGAGTCTATAGATAATATAGTTGTGCTCCACTCCTCAAGAAAAGAAGACTTAACCCTCGCAATATCCCAACATGTGCCATAAGTACTCATTAAATCCCTCACCCATTTAATGTTTCTATTTACCCCTGGAATAAGCTCAACCTGTTGGCCAATTTTGGAAGGGATCCAATGTCTGTCCTATATGAGTGTTTTGCAGCCATTTTTCACCACAACCTGCATCCACTTTGCACATGTTTCTAGCACCTTTAACCAACTACTCCATAGCAATGATTAATTTTGCTTTTTCTGAGCTTCAAACAAGGAAGTAATGGGAAAATACCTAGACTTTAGAACTTTACTAACCAATCTGTCAAGTTCACTTACCAGCTTCCATAGCTGCTTTGCAATGAGGGCAGAGTTAAATAGCTGTATATCTTGAAATCCCAAACCCCCATGCTTCTTTGCTAGTGTGACCTTCTCCCAGTCAACCCAATGCATCCCTTTTTGTCTATCAGCACCCCTACTCAACCAGAATTGACCACAGACTTGAGCAATCTCCTTGCACAATCCCACTGGAAGAACAAAAGTGGACATAGCAAAGACAGAAGAGCATTCAAGACTGCTTTAATGAGCACCTCTTTGCCTGCAGTTGATAACCATTTGTTCTTCCAACTGAAAATTTTTTTCTTTACCACATTCAGAATAAAATCAAAGGCTTCTCTCTTAGCTTTCCCAATCCCCAAAGGCAGGCCTAGGTATCTAGTGGAAGAATGACTTTTGATACCTGTTAGGAAAGAGCAGACTCTGTGCTGGGTTGGCAATGGTGTTTTCTTGCTTGAAAAAATAGTAGACTTCTCCAAATTGATCTGCTGGCCTGTAAAATTTTTGAACACTTGAAGGATATGCAGCAGTCTCCTAGTTTGAGCCTCCCCTGCCTTACAAAATATAAGAGTATCATCCGCAAACATGAGATGTGTTAGCATAGGTCCTTCCCTAGACAGGCTTTCACCACATCCAACTTTAGAGCCATATTCTCAGATATGCAGACACTGCTTTAATCTCAAAGACAAAATTTTTGAAATCACTTTGTAAATGACAGCACAAAGGCTGATTGGCCTGAAGTGGGTAATGGACACAGGATTAGCACACTTAGGAATAAGCGTGATTAGAGTATGCTTCCAATACCTCAGCATCCGTCTGGATTCAAAGAAGCTCTGCGCAGCTACACATATATCCATGCCAATAAGTGGCCAGAAATGTTGGTAGAAGAGCCCTGTCATGCCATCCTCTCCTGGAGCTTTGTCTAGATGGATACTGAAAATTGCATGTTTAATGACTGCTTCATCAACTGGAGCAATGAACATGTTGTTCATCTCCTCTGTGATAGTGGTAGGAATGCAGGGCACCAATTCATGGCCATCTGAGATCTCTGAGATGAAAATAGCTGGCCATAGTAGTCAGTGATTATCTTCTCAATCTCCTCTGCATTTTCAGTCAAACCATTATTCTCACTCAGCAATCTTTCAATTGAGTTCATTTTCCTTCTTTGCATAGCATAGACATGAAAAAATTTCGTGTTGTTGTCTCCTGCCTTAAACCACAATGCCCTTGCTTTTTGTTGCCAGAAAATTTCTTCAAAAACATTGGCTGCATCTAATTCTTGTTGAAGTTTATCCCAAACCTCCCAATTTCTATTGCCCCCAACTCTCCTCATCTCTTCTAGCTATAGAGTCAATTGTTCAATGTGTACTGCATTATTGGTTCTGAAATATTTGCTTCAATTCAACATAGCCGCTCTAGTTCTTCTTAACTTCTCCTTGAGTACAAACATAGGGGTTCCCTTTGTTTGCTCCCCCCAAGCTGATTGTATAACCCTATTAATCCCTTCCTTCTAGATCCATCTCTTATCAAAATTGAATCTCCTTTTGTGCCTGATTTGAACTCCCCCAGAGTTTATAACCAACATACAATGGTCTGAGGCACTCCTGAACCACCTGAAGACTTCAGCATTAGGGAACCTCACCAACCAGTTGTATGAGACAAACATCCTGTCATGGACTTCTTCCACATAGCCCTCACCTGCTCTATTATTTGCCCATGTGTACTGAATTCCTTTCAAAGGTATCTCCTGCACCCCCATTTGTGCTAAGAATGTATTAAAACCTCATAAACTGCCTACTGATCTACAGATGCCACATTTTTTATCCTCAACTGCACAAACATCATTCCAGTCATAAACAAATGGTTTAAATATTTCAGATGCCACCTTTTTTATCCTCAACTGCACAAACATCATTCCAGTCATAAACAAACGGTTTAAATATTTCAGTCCTGAATCGCTAGCTTAAGTCTTTCATGCCTAAAATGTTAGTTGACCATCTTTCAGGTGCCCAATTGAAATATTTTTACTTTTCAGGCTCCAAGATAGTTAACACAGAACCCAACTGATAAACTTAATTACTACTCAATTTACCACTTCTACCGTGTTTAAGCTAAATTTACTTCATGCTACACGGATCTACTGGACTTCTCACCAAGCCAGGATATTTTAGTCATTCTTTATGCAACTCCAGGGATGTCATTTCCATTATAATATATATGTGTAAATTAAAAATTCATTAAATTCTGATTTATTTATATTCCAAACCATAATTTTGAAGCATAAATAATTTTTCTTAACGTGGATACATAACTCAGAAGTTAACAAGCAAAGTCGATTAGATGAAAGCACAATAACACTCACCCTGGTTAAAAACATGCTTCTATAGATTAACTGGCAAAGGTAAGCAAATGCATAGGCATAATTACAATATTAATTCAGTCCAACAGATCTTATTGCACTTTATGCTACAGATTTTCCTATGGGCAAGACATTTTCAAATCAAATCATGTGACTACATTCTACTGTAAATCCTAAATTGTAAGACGAGCCTCGCTGAGTTGATTGCTCTCAATCAGCTGCAGAAGTCTTGGATGTAAATATTGGCTATAACATAGATCCTCCTCATAGCAATGCATTTCAACTGCATAACAATCATTTAGGTAGACTTTCCCATACTTGAATTTTCTTGTTCCATAGAAACAATGCATGCAAGTCTGTTGTATACCTTCAATCACGTTTTCAATAAACATCGTCAAAATGATGAGTGACACGACTCATAACATACATAACATCTTAGTCAGAAAGCAATTATGAAGGCTCTGAATTTCAAACACTATTTTGAAGTACGATAAAACGGATATGTCATCTACAACACCTTCCTTAAATTTTTGGATGGAGAAAGAAAATACTAAAAAACAATTCAATCCAAGTATAATAAAATACCTCAGAAAGCTTGTTTTCTTGCCTAACTGTGGACGTGGAACTATCATACCTACAAAACAATACAAAAAAGAGTCCCAGTTGTTGGTCCTACCTTTAACAATCACGTGAATTTTTATCCCCAAAACTCGAACAAAAATATTAATCCAAGTACAAATCTCACCATTCCCGTGGAATACCAGCTTCCTCTCGAGCGGAATAGTTGAAAGGACCTTTTAGCTCCACTTTATACTCTTTCAGTATATCTGTTAATTATGAAAGGTAAATTTTGATGATGATAATAAAACGTAACAGAAAGCTATTGCGAACTTGTTCACAACATGAAAAATGGGGAAATAAATTGCCTCCGAATGTAGAATCAGGCTTGCGACCCATTTTCTGGCAAACAAATACAAACCAGTAAACACCAACCGCCACATGTGCTACTTCTTCATCAGCTATCTTAGCTACAATGTTTGATGTCCTTTGATCTCCAAAGCCGATCAACTTGTTGACCAACCGAGGTCCTGCATCCAGTCCTCTAGCCTCCTATAGTACAACAAAATAAAAGCAGGTAAAAGGCACAGTATGAATATTGGTGTTAGAAAATGCCTTATTATTTATTTTTTTTTTTTTTTCTTGAAGGGGTGATAGCAAATGTTAAAGACTGTTGCTTTGGGGAATCATCCGCACCATTAAATGGAAATCAAAATTGAATTAACTTGAGCTGCATGTAAAATTTGTAATATTTATTTCCACCATAAATTGGTAGGAAACCTCACACGTTATGGCTTCTTGAGAAATATTGAACTTTCAATACGTTTAGTAGAAAAGTAGTTAAGTACAAAGACACTGGACGAAAAATGAACTTCCCAAATAATCAATTTGAGGGGGAGAGGAGAAAAGTACTAATTATAATAATTAACTTTGTCACAGATGCCAACATTACAGTTAAGATAGCGGGAACAGCACCTGAACCAATGGTATGACAGCAAGCCGGGCAGAAACATTGCCTGATGACTTCTCACACTCCCTCCATAGAAAACTATGAGCTGGCATATCACCATATCTATACGTACAGAAAAAGGAAAAAGAAAACTTTACGTCGAAGGTCAATGAGAATGATAACCAAACCGCTAAATGCTCAGATTCAAGCTCTATGTATTAATACATACCTGAACCCAAGCTCCCCGAGTCTCTGTGAACACCAAGTAAAATGGCGACTTTCATCATCAGCTACATGAGCAAAATCAGCAAAGAACCCTTCGCCAAGAAGCTCAGTGTATGGAGAAAACCGAACAACAGTATCCCAGGCTAGATCAATTGCATTAAGCTCCACGTGGGCCAGATTATGAAGCATGTAGGCATTTAGAGGCAAGCCGGAATTCTTTGGGGATGGGATTTCCTTAGGGGAAACCTGAACTGAAGGGAGACTATAAGTGGATGAAACTAATGGGTGTGAATAATTATAAAATAGAAACTATTAAGGCAAAAGCTATCAAGCAAAGATCAAAAGCACTCATAAGTAGAAACAATCAAAATAAGATCAAACTGTTTACCTGAATTTCACCTCCAGTTCATTTTACAAGATAAATGAACAAAAAATTAAAAATAAACTTATGCCAATCCTCATCCTTTCTAGGAAAACACAGAAAAGAGAAGTCAAAGTATCAGGTGTCCATGTTCACCGCTCACATCAAGAAAGAAAATGAAAATGAGATCATAAACAAGCAAATTAATCCATATTCCTCAAGTTAGATCCTTTTAGAAAATGAAATACTGAACACAAGCCATGATGGAATCTAAGGAAAAAGCTCCAAATTTATCCAATCCACAACACATGTTGAAATAGTAAACTTGTCTTGATGTTTCAAACTATCTTCAAGAAACAGAAACTCAAAACTAAAGCCCGGAAGCCACAGTGAACTAAGAAAACTCTGAAAAGATTGAACAGCCAATAGAAAGCCAACAAGCACATTACTAGACCAAAATAATGATTTAACAGTTTACCACCACGAACAATTAAAAAAAACATACAGATCCCAGAAGCATCACACAAATCTATTATTATGAATAAATNAAACAGAAACAAATACCAATTGGGGTTTGGGGGGGCGAGCGGGACTAGAAGGAGCATCAGAAACTCCAACAGGCAGACCCTCTTGGCGCCATTTCGAATAGGCCAAGTGCGAGAGCTTAGCTTTCGCGAGAGGATCAGCAGTGGAGATAACAACACTACCCATTTCTGCTAATGAAGAGCAAGAGCCAATATCAGCTGGGATGACTTGTACTTCGCTGGGCTCCTGAATTGGACCATTTGGGCCCCAGTAGCGGTCCTTGTTGATTGGGCTGCGCCTCCAGCAGGGGAGGCCGGACCAGTAACGGTGGTTGAGGAGTGGAGGGTAGCTGCCAGTGGATGCGGCGGAGAAGCGGCCACGATGGTGTTTCAGCTGTGGCGGCGAGATGGAGAATCTAAACGCTCTCATCCTCATGAGGGAACGAAAATATGCCGGCCAGAATTTGCTGAGTGGCTGCAGTCTGTTTGGGAGAGTGACTAGGGGTGTGTTTGTATACCAAAACAATTCATATCTTACTTAAAATTTAATTCAACTTGAAGTCAACTTCACTATTCTCAATATTATCAATATAATTAAATAATATCAACCAATCATTTTTCACATCAAATCAATTTTAAGTTAATATTCATCCATTCACATAATTTTAACTAACTATCACTTCAAATTATCTCTCATCTACTTTTATATCAAATCAATTTTAATTATTTTATTTTAAATATCTTTTTAATATAAAACTAAAACCCCACTACCAACTAATCATACTACTTTTTTCAAATTAATTAGAGTTAACAAAAAAAATTCATTTTGAGCGGATATATGTGTATACTTTGTGGATTAACAAAAACACACCCTAGAGATCTCATACTTTGTGGATTATTGTAGTTCTTATTTAGGCAACTTATTTGGGCAGTTCTCGATTGTATTATTAAGGACTATTTAGCCTCTTGACTTGTAAATGTTTGGCAAAAATACATTTTTAGTCATGACGATTTACAGTCAGAACAATTTTAGTCTCAAGATTCTAATTTTTTGTCTTTGGTCATGTGATTAATATTTTGCTGCAATTTGAGTCGTCTAAGCACTGAAATTGCAACAAAATCTTAAATTACAAGACTGAAATTGCAATAAAATTTTAAATTACAAAACTTAAATTGCTAATTGAGAATCGGGAAATTTGAGAATTTTTCACAATTTCCAGTTCTCAAATGACTGAAATTGCAGCAAAATATTAAATCACATAACCAAAAAAACAAAATATTGGAACCTTAAGACTAAAATTGTTATGGCATTAAATCAACAAAATTAAAAATGCAATTTTGCCTAAACGTTCTTATTGTTGAATAAATTCTATAGTTTAAGAAAAAAAAAAAGAGCCGTTTGTTCAGGGAGGCCAGTTTAATTAATTTTTAAGGATAATTTCTTTTATAGCCCCGATATATACATGGTCTTTCTTTTGCACACTGTCGCATCAATAAACATATTTTTCACTCCAATACACACGAAATGGTATGCAATATAAAAATTGCAAATCCAAATGAACCCATAATTAACAATTATGCGAGATATTGTCATGCATAAATCAACGCATATCCATATCGGATGGATAGTTAAATATTTAGTTAATATATTAAATATACAATAATCTAAAAGGAAAAAGTTTATCGTTTTTGTTTTATTTTGCTTTCTTTCCATATTAAAATTATTATAAATTATATTTTAATTTTATAGTATGATAAATAAACTATAAAATCATAAGATGAAAATTAGGATAATCTCATGATTAAACAAGGGTTTATTTCATGGAATTTTCTCAATGAAAGTCGTTCAATTAGTATAAAAAATTAAATTCAAATGCATAATAGACAGAAAAACTTTAGGCTGGTTGATTGAATTATTAGCTTAATTAACATAAATAAACTCACAATGTGTTAGTTTTTTCAATATGACCGTTTTTTTTTACAAATTAATTATTAAAATGACATGCTATATGTGTATGTGTGTGTAATTATTTTTATTTTTCTAAGTATTACGAAATACAATAAATTACAAAATTTGAACAAAATCACATGTGTGTATAAATGGTAAAATATTTTATATACAATATTTTATTTTGAAGTTTGTTTATATAATCTTAAACTAGTTATAATAATAAATAATATTAATATACATTACATAAAATATAAAGAAGGCTACTTTCGTAACTTTTAGAAATAATAATAGTGACATTATATGGCAATAAACTTTTAGTATAAAATAATAGTTTAGTATTATACGGTGAACAAAAACAAGTAAACTATTATTTTTTTTTATATCAAGAAATAAATAATACATTAACATTTTATTTACATTAATATAAACACGTTAGTGGAATAACATATGAATTAATTTACAGACTAGCCCTAACAAGATCAAGTGTAACGGTCCAACAAAAGAAATACGGTGATTAAAACATGTGAAAAATAGATAATTCAATCTTATTATTTTGAGAGCTGAACGGACAAACCCTATAAAACTTGACCATTTAATATTTATGTCCCTTACATCGCACAAACTATATATTATTTATAAATAAAATAATCAATTTGTTCGTCATTCATATTTTTTTATTTTCCTCCACATTCATTGAATCACTCTCCACGTGGTAAAAATAAAAATAATTTAGAAATCATCAAATACCATATATTGACCAAATCAATTAACTCATTTAAATAAATAATTTAAAAGGGAATGAGATAATATAAAATTCTTCCTGGTGGGAACGATATTTTCTCGGGTGAGAGCGAGATTCTCTTGGGTGAGAGGGGCTTTCTGAAGGTTCTCGTCTGAATTTGTTTCCTAGATTGTGTTTTTCTGTTCAATAGTGAGTGGTTTTATTTGAGTGTCGTAGAGTGTGGGGGAGTGTTGTGGGCATTTTCTAGGGTTTGCATTTGGGGTTTTTTTTTTCTTTTTTCCTTTTTCTTTTTCTTTTTGTGTGGGCTGGTTTTCCTCATTATGGAGGACTCCTAGCCATCGATGTCAAAAGGAGGGGAGGGGGATGATGGAGTTTTGCGAAAACTTTGTAAAATGTCTTTATCAGCAAAAGAATTAGGGGAAGCGGAAATTTCGGGAGATGACATTAAGTCTAGTGAAGAGGAGTGTAATAGGAGCTTGTTTGGGAAGGTTGTGGGGGACAGACACGCTGGGCTTCTGGGTGTCAAAAGAACTATGAGCGCCATATGGAGAATGCAACATTCAATGGAGGTGAAAGAGATCAGTGCCAATTTCTTCCAATTTATTTTTATTTCCCAAGAAGATAAAAAGAAAATTAGTGTTGGATACAACTGGATGTATGGTAATCAATACCTAATCCTGAAGGAGTGGTTCCAGGGTTTGAATAGCAAGCACAGTTGTTTTGATGAAATAACCTTGTGGGTTCAGGTTTTGAATGTGCCCCTAAATTGGATGAGTACGGAGGTTGGGCTGAAAGTTGGTAAAATCTTTAACAGAGTTAAGAATGTGGTTGTGTGTAAAGTTGGGGGTGATGTGGGGAGCTTTCTGAAGATACTGGTATCCATTAATATTAATGAACCAATTCCCAGGTGCACCTCTATTAAGCTGGGAAATCAAAAAGTAATGGTGACATTTAGGTATGAAAAGCTAGTCAATCTCTGCTATTACTGTGGAATGATTGGGCATCTGGACAGAAGCTGTAGAAAGAGATTAGAGGACTTTGAGAATAATTGTGTGGTTGATGGGCAATTTGGAGAGTGGCTTAAAACGGCCGAGACATTTGCAGGTGGGAGGAGTATGCAGTCTGATAACTCAGGAGAGAGACCTTCTCAGCCTACAAATCTTCCTATTCCGGGATCCCTGAACTCTGATAATAACCTCTCTAAAGTGGGTCAACAGGAGATGATTAGAAGCAATGAGTTGAATGATAATTATCAGCAGCAGGTTGCAGAGAAGGGCAGCCTAAGTGCTAGAGCAGATGACACTCATATAGTTGTGGGTACTCCTGAAGATGCCACACCCTATATTTCTAATCCAGGGGTGGGTGATAGTAGAAATAGAATGGAAGTTGAAGAGTATGGGCAGGCCAAGGAGATTATAGTTAAATCTGACACTGGAAAAGGTTGTAAGTATGATTTGAGAGAGAGATCTGGGGCTGGGTGGAAAAGGAGAGTCATATCAAAAAACACACTCCATAGAATTCCAGTTGAGGTTAACAAGCAGTTGCATCCAGATTCTCACAAGAGAAGCAGAGCTTTAGTTATATATGATGGAGGATCCAAAGATTTAGAGGTGCCAGAGGGAAAAAGGAAGAAAGGTGATGGTGATAATCAATTGGTGGAGAAGGCCAGCCATAAATGGCCCCAGGGTGACCAATGAAGGTCATGGTGTGGAACTGTAGAGGACTGGGTGGGCCCTCTACAGTTTCCCAGATCAAGGATTCCAGAAGAATCCACCACCCAAATTTAGTTTTTTTATTTGAAACAAAGAAATCTGCTCAGTTTACTCAAACAGTCTGCAGGAAGCTGGGCTACCAAGATAGATGGCACTTGGTGAATCCTAATGGTACTCGAGGGGGATTGCTACTTATGTGGGATAATAATACTGATATAAAATAAATTATTGGAAATGACTGCTGCCTTCAAGTTGAGCTGAAAGGGGCTGGAATAGCCGACTGGGGTTGGTTTATCTTTGTGCATATGAGTTCAGATAGGAGTGAAAGGGTTAGACAATGGAAAATGCTGGTGCTCAGTAAAGATAAATGGGGAGATAGTTGGGTAATGGCTGGTGACTGGAATGATATAGTCTCGAATGAGGAAAAACGAGGGGGGGTAAGGAGGAGCCCTAGCAGCTTTGTAGGGTTCCAGGATTTTCTCATGAACATGGAGGCTCAGGAGGTGACTTAGTTGGGGTCTTTTTTTACTTGGGGGAATAATAAAGCAGGCGATGGGTATATGGAAGAAAGGTTGGACAAAATCTATGTGTCTCTCGGTTGGCTGACTAAATTCCCAAATATGGTTGCTTCCAATTTCTATAGATCTGCGTCTGATCATAATATCATCCTCTTTGATACTGAAAAGGAGGTGGGTAGAAGACACAAAAGGTTCCAATTTGGTAGTCACTGGGCTGCTTTAGAGGGAGTTCAAGAAGCAGTGAAGAAGGGTTGGCTAGTTCAGGTGGATGGATCAGCAATGTACCAGGTACATCAGAAAATCAAGCACACCAGAATGGCTCTGCTAGCATGGCATAAACCCATCCACAGAAACAGTGAAAAAGCTATTGCTGTGCTCACAGCTAAATTGGAGGTGTTGAGGGATGAAGGAAAAGATAGAGATTGGGAGGAGGGGGGGGGGNCCATAAAAGCTGAACTTGATCAAGCTCACCAAGAGGAGGAGTGGTACTGGAGAGCTAAATCCAGAGCCCTTTGGCTTAAAGCTGGTGACAGGAATTCCAGGTTTTTCCATGCCTTTACTTCCCAAAGAAGAAGATCAAATTTTATCTCTAAACTCATCTCTGGTGCTGGGGAAGTGTGTGACACTCAAGAGACATTGGAGAGGCATATTTTTTCTTTCTACTCAAATCTGTTCACTTCTGAGGGATCAAATGGAAGTGAGGAGCTACTTCATCACATTCCTGTTTCCATAACTGAGGCTCTTAATAATGACTTAATCAGAGGAGTTGATGAGGAGGAAATTAAGGCAACTGTGTTTTCAATGGCCCCTGAGAAATCTCCTGGTGATGATGGTATGTCTGTCTTATTTTTTCAAAAATTTTGGCCCATTGTGAAAGATGATGTATGCAAAGCTGTGGGAAGTTTCTTTAGATCTGGTCATTTACTGAAGAATTGGAAGCATACTATTATTACTCTGATCCCAAAGTGTCTGTTTCCTGAAGCTTTGACAAATTTCAGACCTATTAGTCTCTGTGGGGTCCTATATAAAATTATTGCTAAACTGCTGGCTGAAAGGTTGAAGTTATGTCTTGATACCTGCATTAGTCCTGAACAAACTGCTTTTGTCCCTGGTCGATTGTTATTGGACAATGTGGTTATTGCTCAGGAAATTTTTCATTTCTTACACAGACACAAATCTGGGCCAAATGTATTCATGGCTGTTAAATTGGATATGGAGAAAGCTTATGATAGGGTAGAGTGGAATTGCATTAGGAAGATTATGGTGAATATGGGTTTTCATGGGAAATTTATTCAGTGGGTGATTAGTTGCATTTCTTTCCCTACTTTTTCTTTTAACCTTAATGGGAGAGTGTGTGGGTATGGGACTGCTTCTAGAGGGTTAAGGCAGGGGGACCCTTTGTCCCGTTACCTTTTTATTTTAGTGTCTGAAGTTTTCTCTGCCTATTTGAAATCAAAGATCAGTGATGGGTTGTTCTGTGGGATTAAGCTTTCTAGAAATGGGCCTGTGCTTTCTCACTTGCTGTTTGCTGAAGATGCCCTCATCTTTTGCAAAGCTAATGTTTCCCATGCTGAGTTACTGCTTGATATGCTTCAGAAATATCAAAATTTTACTGGGCAGAAGGTTAACCTCCATAAATCTTCTATGTTTTTTAGCAAGAATGGTACTGAGACACTGCAGGCTTCATTATCTGCTATCCTTCATGGTGTTGTTGTTAAAAGGTCATCAAAATATTTGGGCTTACCTCTTGGGATTGGGGCTTCCAAAATTGACACTTTTCAGTTTGTGGTGGATGCTGTGAAGGAGAGGATTTGTAGCTGGAAGAACACATTTCTATCATCTGCAGGTAAAGAAGTTTTGGTAAAATCGGTGCTTTGTGCTCTCCCTGTGTTTGTGATGTCCTGCTTTATATTACCTGTGAAGTTGTGCAAAGACATATGCAGGATTGTTTCAAATTTCTGGTGGAACAAAGGAGATGCAAAAAAGGAAAATCTACATTGGATGTCATGGGATAAGTTGACTGCTGCTAAAGAAGATGGGGGTTTGGGGTTTCTGGATTTGCAATTGTTTAACAAATCTCTGATTCTTAAGCAGCTGTGGAGACTTATAGAACAACCAGATAGTCTTATGGGCCGAGTGCTGAAAACCAGATATTTCAAAGACTGCTCTATTTTTTGTTGTAAGAATTCTGGGGGTGCATCTTGGGTATGGAACTCATGGGTTTCTCTTCTGCCTGAATTACAGAAGCAGGTTAGCATTGTGATCAGAAATGGGCAGTCCACTAAAATCAGTGAAACCAACTGGATTCTTGGAATAATCTGCAGAAAACCTAGCTTGAGGGTGGCTGTGGATGGACATCTTTTTTGGGTAAAGGATCTGCTCTTGGCTGGAGGAGTGCTGTTTGCAGAGGAAGATGCTGAGAGAATACTCAAGATAAAGTCATTAAATCCCAGAGTGGCAGATCAATGGCAATGTACTTCTGTGGTGAAAGGTAAGTTCTCAGTGAAGAAAGCTTATACAAACTTCCTATCAGTCAAGGTGGGGCACAGGTTAGTAGCTGAATCTAGTGGTATGGCTAGCATGAACAGGAAAGCTAGGAAAAGATGCTGGAGCTTAAAAGTCATGGGAAAAGTAAAAATCTTTCTATGGCAGTGCTTATCAAATATTTTACCTGTTAGTTGTAATTTACAGACAAGAGGGATGGATGTTGAGACCACTTGCAGAGTATGTGGGGAGGAAGAGGAAACTCAAGAACACTGTCTTTTTTTGTGTAAGAAGGCCAGAATTGTTTGGAAGCTCTCACCGGTTAGCTGGAATAGAGTGATGGAGGAGCAGTTAACAGTTAAACAATGGTGGTGATGGGTAAGTGCTATGGCTGCTGAGGAGTGTGCTGAGGAAAGAATCCAACTCTCCACATATATTCTATGGTGGCTGTGGAGAGTTAGAAATCTCTGGGTATTTGAAGGCAAATGGCACGAGGAAAGATGGATCATCAAAGCTGCCTTGGCAGACTGGCTGGACTTCAAGAAGAATAACAGCATTGGATAGAAGTGGGGCAGAAGAGATAAATTAGGTCTAGTGTCAGTTTTTTATCTTTTGTGTGTTCCTGTTTGTATCTATGCAACTTGATGTATTTGGCTTGATTTTCTGGGTAGTGTAGGTGATGTCTGGTTATGTATTTCTAGCTTTTCTGCCTTGAGGTAGCTTGATTGTTTATCTGGCTCTTTATCTGCTTTTGTTTGGGATTGCTAGGGAGCATTTGTGCTGCCCTCTCAGGTTTCTGCCGGCAGTGGGGGTTTTCCCTTGTACTTTGACCTTTTTGGTCCGATTTTAATGGAGCTTGCTATATNTTGGAAAAAAAAAAAAAGAATGAGATAATATAAATATGACATATAAATATGCATTTCGAAGGAAAAAAATGTAATCCCAAAATATCATGTAAAAAATCAACAATCTTAATAATTCTTAGGTTTAAAGTAACTTGTAAAATATTTTGTCAATTAATAAGTGAAACAATTTAATTGAAAATCAAATTTCTATTTTTTTATTGTAGATTTACTTTTTACTAGTTGCAACCCGTGCATTTGCACGGAGAGTTATATGATAAAGAAAAAAATAATATAAAATATAAATAACAGTAAAAATCATAATATAATCATGGAAAAAAAAAGCGTTTGAATATTAAAATTATAAGTTAAATAATTGTATTATGTTTTAATATTAAAAATCATAACATAATCATTGAAAAAACTAAATATTGTTACACACTTCTTTATATACAACATTCGTGGTTTTTTTATCGTCAGAACAGGAAACGGCATTGTACCATAGTCGCGTGAAATCATCCCACGGCGTTGCAAAATCTTTTCGACCTCTACCAACGCAAGATTCTTTATTTCCTCATCGGTCAAGACCAATTCTGAAACAATTATAGTACAAAAATAATAAGAACAAAGATAAAACATATAAAAAGGAATAAAATAAAAAAATAAAAATAATTGAATTTGTTACCTGGGTGGTGTAGAAGCCTCCGACAATTATATAATATGTCATCCGATAGGTAATGCCAACAGGCGTCCCACACAAACTCCGGTCGACAGAGAGTATCGGATGAAAGAAGAGTCGCAAAAAGGTTCCTCGATGAACTTGCGCTCGCCTATTGGCTTGCCTCAATAATGCCTTTTATATACTCCTTGTCGTCCTCCACCAAACCAAGGGCAAAACACGCGTCGCGATACAAATCGTGTTGGACGCCATTCAACTTCATATAGTCACGATGGCATGTTGCACCTCGAACAACATTGATAAGGCACCTCAAGAAAAATATATCTCCAGCTCCGGGGGGGACGAAGTACAAACGCGCAGTCCGATCGCTTCCTTTCCTAGGCTCCCAACTATTCGTTTCTGAATGCCACGTAAATTTAGTGGGAGCCTCAACATATGTCAGTTCTCTGGCAGCGGGATACTTCTTGTTGGCCTTCATCCAAGCCAAGAATTTGCTAACAGACTTTTTATTTTTTTGAACCACTTGATCGATCGGAACTTCATCATCGTAGTAGCAAGGATGTTCGTTTTCGAGGTGAAAATTCAAGCGTTCCACTGATGGCCTCTTATACTGAATCTCAAACTCCAACAACCGCCACGCAGCCTCACAAGATGAAACATACTGGCAATCGTAGTACATCTTCACCTCGTCAACCGGCCTGCTAAAAGACTCAGATCCATTGGACTCATAAAAGGTGGCGGTAACGCGATCATTCCCCTTGTTCACATACTTGAACAAATATTTGATGGACCTCGACTGGTTGCACCATTCTATATTTATGTGGGCGCCATACTTAAGGAGCAATTTTCTGTTATGAGGCACAACGTATCTGTTATCTAGGGGAATGTCGTTCTTTTCTATGGTCCTGCCATTATCACGACGCCTGTATCGTGGATAGCCTTCCTGATCCAGGGTGGTGGTTTCAGAGAACTTCTTTGGAAAATGCTTCGTGCAACAACCATTGACCATACACGGAGATTGTGGGCGTAGTAAAATGGATCGGTGGCCTCATCTGGTATTTCGGCAGATATTATTTTATCTATGCCATCAGTGGTCTGAATCTTGTGTTCTTTAGCCAAGAATAGCAAGATATGGGCATGGGGAAGGCCACGTTTCTGGAATTCAATCGTGTATATAGCTGCAAACAATAATTTTTTTGGTAAAATCCAATACAATGAACACAAAAGATTTTAAATTTAAATAAAATGAATTACAAAAATATTAATATTAATATTAATAATATTAAGTACCTGCATTCACATCACCAGACATCTTGTTATGTCGAACATCCCTCATCAAAGCGTCGAACTTAGCCTTAAATACCCGGCAAATTATATCAGGACAAACCTCTTGTTTGAATTCTTGTTAGCGAGAAAACGACTGATTTCTGGCCACTTAGGGTTGCAAGTGAATGTTATGAATATATCAGGATAACCGGTCCACCGGCATATGGCCATCGCGTCCTGATAGTTCTCAATCATATATCTTGCGCCACCCGTAAAGGATGAAGGCAATATAATGTGTTTGCCTTGAGAACCAGGATCGGTGTCTCCTCGCAACACAGCATCCGAAAGACTGGCTGTACAATTCAGTTCTAAGTTTTGTTTGGTTAAAAAGGATATAATCTGAGTCGAGCTTCTTCGACCATTGTATACGCGTCCACAACGAACTGCTGATACAACCTCCGAGCTGAGAGGATAGAAGACAATTCGCAGTCACGGTCGTGCATTCGATATTTGAAGAACTCCAACGGACTGATAAATTTCCTCGACCTCTTCGTAACCGGTTTTAGGAGAGAAAATGGAATGTCCTCCCTGTAACCATCCTTGCCATATGGACAAAGAATAGGATAATGGAGAGCCAAGTAGGAAGCGTTCAACTCGTTGATACGTTGCAAACGTCTGCTCCGATGTTCTACTATAATATCCCGGCTGCCCATAGCATCATCGAAATCACCAACAACTAATGTTGCAACTTCAGAAGTGTACGGTAAATTATAACGCCGACCATCCTTATTCCTTTTTCCAATAAGTCGCATCTTAACTTCGCAATGCTCGGGTTGGTTCAACTTCTCCCTCGCCATTCTAAACGACTTAACCAACACATTGTATAGATCAAGCATCTCTTTCAAACCACGCACTATTTCCCCCATCAAGAGTATTTCTTTCAGCACGACTCCTAACAAAAAGAACATAGCAAATTGAATTATTAAATAAAATGTAATAAACGAAGCTAAAGATGTAAGTAAGAAATGTTAATGATAAAATATAATATATACCTCACAGAAGATAACCTGTTCGATATTTCATTCTTTGTGTCATAGATGTACAATTGAACAAATTTGGAAGGAGCACCATGGTCGGGTAGCAAACTACCCATTAAATGGTAGTTTTGACCGTGCAAACAGAAGACGGGCGGGCCACTGCCGTTGTTGATGCCGGTATCAATCTTTCCTCCCATGGATGTAAAACAAAACATGTTGTTATAGGACCGAATGTTTTCTTGAAAGTGCTTACTACGGGGACTTGTGCGGAAAATCAGTTCACGTAGGAATGGGAGAGGAGTGTAAACAGGTGGAAGTTCGATGAATCCGTGGTTGCAACAACCAGAATACTTTGGAACCCTGGGGTTAGATGGCTTTCCCAGTCGCTCGGCATACCAAAATCTGGCACCACAATGAAGGCAACGGTACGATGCGTCACCAATATCCCGGTATTCTGCAGAATTATATTAATTAAATTAAATATTTAACAATTTATTTACAAAATAAATATTTATATATCCTACAAATTATTGGTGATACACTGTTAAAAAAATAGGGAAAAAAATAATTAAGACATAAGTAAATCATTACCGATGTTGATGGATGTGTGCGTAGAACCGACAGATGTAGATGAGCCTCGGTTATTATTGGGCCTTCGAGATAGATTTTGACTACGGACAAAAGCAGACAAAGTATTATTGAGCCTCGGGTATTTTTGGATTATTATTATAAACAAAGAAAAGAAATATATAAAATATAAATGAGAAACATTTTTTTTTATTTAATGAAAAAAATTAGATAAAATTATAATCAATTTGAATTACCATTTGTGGGGGGAGGTAAATCGCGCCTCGGACGATCGCCTACGTTGATCCGAGGTTGCGAATTTGTGAAACTGCGAAAAAAAAAAAAAAGAATTAATATTTTAATAGAAATTAGCTCAAAATTTGAATGGTTAAATAAAATATATAACTTTTTTCGTTTTACGTCAAACAATATAAATTACAAAAATTGATAATAATATTAAATTTACCATTTGTGATGGGAGATAATGCGAGCCTCAGACGACCGCCTACATTCTTTCGAGGTGGCAAGTTTACTGACGAAACTGCAAAATATTAAATTATAATTGAAAAAAAATAATAAAAGAAAAACATCATGTCGCAAATGAATAAATATAATATTATATTTTATATAAACAAAAGATTTAAATTAATTGATAATGAATATAAAATTACCATTGCGGACATTATTAACCAACATTCTCGTTGGCACATTATCATGATCGTCTATTGTAAGATCAATCAACTGTACTAATCCGCCCGAAGAAGCATTACTGATGTGAGATATGGAACTATTTTGGGACGAACGTTGAGAATTTGCGACTGGAATACCTAATATATATATATATACACACACACAACAATAACAATCTTCTAGTATTGAGATAAACATTTAATAATGATATAAAATGAATACAACAATAAAGAAAATAAATACCAGGTTCTTGAATGGTAGAATGCCAATTATAAGTGACAATCGATCTTTGGAATGAAGGTGTTGTCGTAGGCATATCAGATAACATACCTACAATAATTAAATTTGATAGAATCTATATATTATATGCTGCAATGTAGTTTTAAAATTTCAGACACAATATATAGATTATTTTTATTATAAGATTTAATATATAAATTTTTTTGGGAATAAATAAAATTAATTAATCATACTTGCATTACAATTTGTAATATAAAAATCAACATTATTTGTTTTAATATACTTTATTTATGTTACGGAATAGTGTTAATTGACCATTAAATCAATATTGGCATACCAATAATTAAGGTCAACTATGTTTCACAAATAACATAATAGCCCAAATATGAGGTGTGTTCATATGTTACAGGAATATTTAACATGGCGACACGTGCACATAAACATAACTAATGGCGAGACGCATGTCATTGACCGTTTCAAGAATTCATTAAATGCTGAAACCCTAACATCTGAGAAGTTTACGCCATTTACATCTCCTCTTTATCGGCACACCTGCCATCTCTCCATTCTTCTCTCTTTTGAAACACTCTTCTTCGACCTTTCTTAGATCATTTTCGACGTTAATCTAGTGGAAAATCTAGGTTTACTGGCGATTCTTTTACGCTTTTCAAACAG